AATGCTGCTCCAGAAATGAAATTACCCAAGTGGGAATAAAAGCTTCGATATTTCAGTGGATCTGAGAGCTCACTGGCGTGTGCACATGCTCCAACAGTATCAGGCCTCTTATCCTCTCTGACTTGTCTCCATGATCTTCTCATAAATCCTTCATAGACTATCTACCTAACACTCTGGAGGATTTCTGGATGTTTCAATAATCACTACAGTATTTCAGCTGTCCATTTGTTGTCCATCCTTCTCATTACCTACTTGATTGTTCTACTTTCTTTTCAGTTATAGCAGACTCTTCCTGGATAAAGTCTTTTATGGCACATCATTGGTAATATTCTGTAATATTCTGCAGCCTACATAATGCCTACACAAAGTAAAGTGATCTTTGAGTCACCAGCAATTTTGAGTCTCTGGAGATCATGGTATTCTTTGATATAGCATCACCAAGAAAGTATTGGAATTTTTTTTTTAATGGGCCTTAGTCTGGGATTCCCCAGTACCATTTGGTACAACCTTTGACCTCAGATGACTCCAAAATCTTGCATTTTTCCCTGAGAACAGCAATGAAAAACCACAGAATGTTAGAACTGGAAAGGACCATAGAGTGACACATTTGGAGTTAGAGGACTAGGTTCAAATTCCATTTTCCCATCAAATAATGATCTTAGGCAAATCACTTCCCCTCTCTGGATCTCAGTCTCCTCATACGTAAAATGACAGTGTTAGACTACATGATCTCAAAAATCCCTTCCAGATTTAAATCTATAATCCTGTGATCATTATCGTCATTGGAAAACGAGTTCTACTGAGGCAAAGTGACTTGCCTAAAATCCTACAGCAAATAATCCATAGAGCTGGAACCAGGACCCAGGTTTGCCAGTTCCCTCCCTGGGTGCTCATTCTACCACACCACACTGCTATGAGACATCATGGTACCCTTCCAGGGAAGGTAACAATTGGAACCAAAATGGAATACAAGCTCATTCAGACTCCTCTGATTAGATTTACACGTAACAGTGTGTTAATAATTAAAAGAGAGCTAAGCTAAGGGCTAGTAGTAGGAAGAATACTGGAGTTGGTGTCAGGAACCTGGGATTCAAATCCACAAATGGTATCAAATTGAATTAGCATCCGACCCTCAGCAAATCATTTAATTCCTATGAGCCTCAGTTTTCCCTGTTTGTAAAAGACACTCATTACTACCTGCCCTGCCTTAGATCACAGGGAATTTGCGAAGATCAAGAGAGACAGTGAATGTGAAAGTACTTTGTAAACTGTACATTGGGTTAAAAATGTAAGGAATCCGGTAAAGTCACTTCTCTGTCCATATTCACACAGTTATAAATGCTCTCTCCTCCTCCTCTATCACCACTGTTACCCAGAAATTAATAATAATAATTAATAATAATAATAATGTAGATGATAATAACAGCAACTAGCATTTAAATAGTGCTTTAAGGTTTGCAAAGAACTTTAAAAATATTCTCATTTCACCCTCATAACAACCCTGGGAGGTAGGTGCTATTATTATCACCATTTTACAGATGAGGAAACTGAGGCAGGCTAAGGTTAAATAACTCATGCAGGGTCACACAGCTAATAAGTGTCTTAGGCTGGATTTGAACTCAGGTCTTCCTAACTCGAAGTCCAGCACTCTTTCCACCGTGCCACCTAACTTTACTTTAAAAATTTTTTTAGGGGCAGCTAAGTGGCACAGTGGATAGAGCACTGGCCCTGGAGTCAGGAGGACCCGAGTTCAAATCCGGCCTCAGACACTTGATACTTACTAGCTGGGCGACCCTGGCCCAGTCACTTAACCCCATTGCCTAGCAAAAACAAAACAAACAAAAGCTAATTTTTTTTTTAATTTGTCTCTAACTTCCACTTACCTATCCGTACATATATTATGCCCCACTGGTAGAATACAAAAACCCTGGAGGCACAGATTATTTTGTCTCTGTCTTTGTGTCCCCATCACCTTGCATAATGCCTGACACTCAGCACATGTTATACCATACAATGGTGACTGAATGAATGAAGCAATGGAGGAGCCATCTCTATTGCCATCTGCACATACTCTTCTTGTGTCTCCTTCCCCTTTTGCACTACAGCACATGTACTGAAATCCTGGTTTGACCTGCAAGCCCTGGAGGAAGGAAGGTCTTTTCTCCGCTCTAGCTCCACCCTATCCCATGACCCCAGAGAGCCAAACCCAGATCCCTCACACACAGCAGGTGCTCCAGGATAACTGACGATGATGAGAGAACAGAGGTCTTTCAAGGGCTGGGCTGGAGCTCTTATGGGAAACTCAGACTGTGCAACCTGGAAGAAAGAAGCCCTGAGGGCAAAAGTTTCCTGATGATTTTCGAGTAAAACAACGGGGCATAATTGCGGGAAAAGGCATGCTCACTCAGTGAAACATCTGAGTTGATAGTCTTAAAGAAATGCAATTTGAGTCCTTCCTAAGTAGACTCAGCAACTCTGTCAGCTTCCAAACAAGCCTCAG